GACACCGGGCTCCGGTTCAGGAGCTGGGCTCTGGCTGAGCGAGTTCAGGCCTGAGCCACCAGTACCCCCAGCCCTGTCCTCCCAGGACAGAAGGTGGCTGACAGTTGGCCAACTGCCGCTCTGACAGGCCTGTACCTGTGTTTTTCAATACAGCATTGTCTTTGCGAACTTGAGTAAGCTCCTTCAGTTTTTCACGGTCTCTACGTGGTTACCCTGTTCAGCAGCCTCAGCCTGTCCGGGAGGGCCTTCCCTGCCCTCATTCCCTGCCCTCGTTCCCCGCCCTCGTTCCCCGCCCTCGTTCCCTTAGCACTTTTGGCCTTTGGGGGATTTTTCCTCAGACAGGTCCTGGGACAGACCCAGGTTCACAGGCTACCCTGGTCCTCGGATACAACAGGGCCATTTGTTCCTCCATGGTCCTATAGCTCCCTAAATGTAAAAGAAAAATCACCAGGACGTAGGGCCCAGCCAGAGAGGGTGAAGAATGGCTCAAAACAAGGGCTTGGCAAGAACGTCATTCAAGCATCCTTCACTGGGACCTATTTCCCATCCGGTTATCTGGATTACCAGCTCACAGAGCCTGTCCTGACGCTCTCCGGACCCTGCCCAGCCAGAGGCTACTGGAGCTCAGGGGGCTACTCCCAGGTGGGGCCTGTGCTCAATGCTGAAACCTCATGCTTGTCCCCGGCAGACCTCTGTAGGGCTGAATCCAGTGCCGCACATATCTGTGCTTGAAACCAGGCAGAAGCATGGCTTGGGAAGGTCCGAGAGGAGAGCCAGCAAGAGGAAATCAGGAGGTTGCTAAAGCCAACCTTGTACTTCTCAGGAGAAACGCACGATTCCTTCAGTGGGATCTCTGTTCCCTACTTCCTTATCTTTTTCTTTTTTTTTTTTTTTGAGATGGTCTCACTTTGTCACCCAGGTTGAAGTGCAGTAGTGCAATCTCAATTCATTGCAACCTCTGCCTCCTGGGCTAAAGCGATCCTCCTGTCTCAGCCTCTCGGGTAGCTAGGACTATAGGGGTACACCATCATGCCCTGCTAAAATTTGCCAGGTAGCTGGGACTACAGGCATGCACCACCACACCCCGCTAGTATTTCCCGGGTAGCTGGGACTACGGGCGTGCACCACCATGCCCCGCTAATACTTCCTTTTCTGACCTGCACTTTCTTTAAGGCTATTTTCATCTGGTTTGTGACCGTTTTCCCCCTTGTTACTAAAAAGAAATCAATATTGAACATTAGTCAGCAAGCAGAGAAGTATACATATTTTTGATGTGCCAACTAGGAAGAAAGAGTGTTTTGTGGTTTCAGTTGCATTTTATTTTAACAAAGTCATGAGTGAGCCCACGTAGGCAGGACCTTGTGGTCTGGCCTCAAAACTGGGTTGCTGCCACCACCACTCTGCAGCCCATTGCCTGAAAGACCAGCCCGATTCACCTGCTCCACCTACTCTGAGGCTGGCCTCGTGGGACAGAGAGAGAATTCCACTGAAGTCTCAGGGTTTTAGGACCAGAAGGGTAGGAGCTAGAGAAGGTGACAGAGGTGAAGGGGGAACAAGTGAGTGGGACTCCAGGTCCAAGTCCCAGCCTGGCCCCTGCTTCAATCACAGTAGCTCAGTTCCATGTTTTTACACATTAGCTCCGTGGCCTAGGGTAAGTTTCAAATGAGTATAGCACCTACTTCCTATGGCTGATGAAGCAGAGTGACTGACTGTAGGTAAACACACCTAGTATAGTGTGGGTCACCAAGTGGATGTTCAAAGCACGGTAGCTATTGTGTTTGGATTCCACATTTGATTTTTTTTTTTTTTTTTTTTGAGATGGAGTCTCGCCCTGTCGCCCAGGCTGGAATGCAGTGGTGCAATCTTGGCAGGCACCCACCACCACACCTGGCTAATTTTTTGTAGTTTTAGTCGTGATAGCCACGCTGCTCTCAAACTCCTGACCATAAGTGATCTTCCCACCTCAGCTTCTCAAAGTGCTGGGATTATAGGCATGAGCCACCGCACCCAGCCTTTACATTAGATTTTGTTACAAGAAAGGATCTGGAAATCACTGATTTGGCCCATCTCTCTCATTTTAAAACAATTGAAAAATAACGTTGTTAAAGTACATATAAAGTATGTAAATGCATTTGTATAAGAAAATTTCCAAAAAACTATACCAGAGTAAATGGAAAAAAATATTTCTTTGCTTCTCTACCTACTCTCACTCCAACTTTCTTCCTGAGAGACATCCACTGTTACCATTTCCAGACCTCTTTCTTACACATTTACGCACATAAATATGCTTTTTACTTTTTCCATAAAAGACATTATACCTCCCAAAGTGCTGGGATGACAGGCATGAGCTGCCGTATCCGGCCCCCATTCCACCACTTTTAAACTGTGTGTAGCATCTCACGGCATGGATGCACCGTAATTTATTTAACCATTCTTCAATAATAAACATTACAGACATATCCAAGTCTTTTGCTTTTAAGGCTGAGTTCACCTCTTTCTTTGTGCATCTTCCCCTACATGTACGGATTTTTTTAGACTTCTGGTTTAGATGTAACATTGTTGTTTGATAGGACACGCATATTTACATTTCTGAAAGTTCTGATAATGACAATTTATGCACCAAAAAGGTATCAAGCTGTATACTAGCACTAAAATCCTGTACTGTTAGTCTTGTAATTTTTTTCTTTTTGTAAACCTGATGTAGGAAAAATATCCTGTTTTCTTTTTTTTCATGTTTATTAGCCAACTGAATTTCTTCAGTGAATCGTCTGTTTGACTCTGTATTCATTTTTCAAATGGGTTACTTGTCTTTTCCTTACTGATTTTTAGGAGTTCTTTAAATGTGCTAGATATTAATCGTTTGTGTCATACAGCTTAAACTGTTTTTTTATTTTTTTAAATTTTATTTATTTATTTATTTATTTTTTAAGACGGAGTCTCGCTCTGTCGCCCAGGCTGGAGTGCAGTGGCCGGATCTCGGCTCACTGCAAGCTCCGCCTCCCGGGTTCACGCCATTCTCCTGCCTAGCCTCCCAAGTAGCTGAGACTACAGGCGCCCGCCACCCCACAGGCGCCCGCCACCTCGCCCGGCTAGTTTTTTGTATTTTTTAGTAGAGATGGGGTTTCACCGTGTTAGCCAGGATGGTCTCCGATCTCCTGACCTCGTGATCCGCCCGTCTCGGCCTCCCAAAGTGCTGGGATTACAGGCTTGAGCCACCATGCCCAGCCAGCTTAAACTGTTTTTTAATCCCTTGATTGTTTCTGGTCTCTTTTTCCAAAAGAATTTTGTTCTCTTTATGTTGTCAAACCTTTCAGCACTTTTCTTCATGGCTTTTGGGTTTTATGTCTTATGTAGTCTCACTAATATTCTGTTATTAAATGATAGGCGGGCATGGTAGCTCACACCTGGAATCCCAGCACTTTGGGAGGCCAAGGTGGTGGGCAGATCACCTGAGGTCAGGAGTTTGAGACCAGCCTGATCAACATGGTGAAACCCCCTCTCTACTGAAAATACAAAAATCAGCCAGGTGTGGTGGCACGCACCTGTAATCCCAGCTACCTGGGAGGCTGAGGCAGGAGAATCGCTTGAACCCAGGAGGCGGAGGTTGCAGTGAGCCGAGATCACCCCACTGCACTCCAGCCTGGGTGACAGAGCAAGACTCTGTCTAAAAAACAAAATGATAAATAAATACATAAATAAATAAATAAATAAAGGATAGTCCTTTCTTCTCATTTAACAGGGAAGGCAGTTCACTGCGTTACAGTGGAATCGGGATTAGGCCACGCATCTTCTCTCTCGACTGCAGGTCCAAGGACTTTTCTACTAAATCACATTGCTTCTCTATTGTTACCAGCAGTTAAAAAAACCCAAAATCTAACTTAAAAGAAAATTCAAAGGTATGATTCTCTCAACGTGGATATCTTCTTCCCTCCCTCCTTTCTTCTTTCCCTTTCCATTCCTGCCTGCATGGGTTCTGTGTATACTCTGCACGACTCGAGGAGACAGATGAGCCAGCTACAATTCCTGCATTCAAGGAGCTCAATGTCTACGCATATGTAATGATGCAAACAGAAATGACCATAGAACATAGTCACTTGGTTTCCCAGTGGATAGCAAATCTGAAGATAGCATATTGATGTGTTAGCAGGGAGTCTGGACCTCCAAAAAGAGGTTTACTCCTTTCTCTTTCTTTATTTTAGTGATAGGGTGTCACTCTGTCACCAACCATAGCTCACTGCAGCCTCAACTCCTGGGCTGAAGTGATCCTCCTGCCTCAGCCTCCCAAGTCACTGGAACTAAGGGGTGCACCCGACTAATTTTTTTTTTTTTTTAAATGTTTTGTAGCAGTGAGGTCTCGCTATGTTGCCCAGGCTGGTCTCGAACTCCTGGTCTCAAGCAATCCCGCCTCGGCCTGCCAAAGTGCTGGGATTACCGGTGTGAGTCACTGCATCGAGCCAAAAAGAAGAGGTTTCCAGAGAGAAAATTTGGACTTGGTCTTTGACTACACAGAGACAAACATTTAACCGGCAGTACTACGTTCCACCTTTCCAATGGAGGCGTGTAGTCCCCAGGCCTGTATACCTGGCTTTGGGGTTTACAGAGACTCATTGACCTAGTTTGCTCACCAGAGATGTTAAAAGGTAAACCTTAAAGTAAAAACATATCCTAATTGTAACCAAATCTGACAGCTGATAAAGTAATAAGGTATTTGTGACCGAGTAAGGCCTCTGACTCACAAAATTACTTGTCGGTAAAACGGGATCAATACTTAGGAAAAATGATGACAGGGCATTCTAGAAACATGAGGTACTGCATCACAGACAAATGATAAATCCACACAGAGTGCTCTCTATCATCACTGTTCCCAGCAGCTCAGAGAAATCACGGCAGTGAGGGAGTAAGCACTGAAGCCACTGGACAGAGTCACCACACAGTGAACACTGAATCCCAACCACCCAACCCCCTGACTTCACATGGCAGCCCCCTAGGGAAGGTCTTACCTGGCTCCCATCGGTCAGGGTGCAGCCAGAGAAGCGTTTTGCGAGAAACCCCTCAAAGTTAGTTGTTCTTTGAATAGCAAAAAGCAGCAATTTCACTTCAATTTCCTTCGCTCTGGTACGCATAATCTTGGCAAGTTCTGTCCTTCAAAACAAAGAGATAAGAATACTATCAAACAAACTGCTCATTCATTCAAGAGAAGACAAAGTAAATGGCCTTAACTTATATTCAGGAAAAAAAAAAGTACGCAGTCATTTCAAACCCTGAGGTCTGTTACCAGCTTAGTCTAAAATCTAGAGAGTAGAAATACATGCTCTAAACAAGAATTTTAAGGTGAAATTATCCACCAGGCAAAAAAATCAGGGGTTATGGATTTTATATATATATTATTTGTTTGTTTGTTTTTGAGATGGAGTCTCCCTCTGTCACCCAGGCTGGAGTGCAGTGGTGCGATCACTGCAACCTCCACCTCCTGGGTTCAAATGATTCTTTTTTTCTGTATTTTTAGTAGAGATGGGGTTTCACCATGTTGGCCAGGCTGGTCTCAAACTCCTGATCTCAGGCGATCTGCCCGCCTCGGCCTCCCAAAGTGCTGGGATGACAGGCGGGAGCCACCAGTAATTTGTTTTCACGGTTACTACATTGCCTGTATCTTTGAACTGTTGAAGAATTGGATAATAATACATACGGAGCACCTAGTTTTTTATTAGTGTATATATCCTATATAATTTCACAAGTCATTAATTACTGAATTATAAACCCCTGTCTCTTTCTAAGGGCCCAGTAATCATCTCTTCAACTGGACGGCGTAAGTCCTGGAAACATGCCAGGGACAGGATCGCCGCGGCAAAAGTGACAAGTACGCTTAGCTGGTCCCTGCCCGAGACGCGCCGGTGCAGCTCACTCAGACGTTCCGTCTCAGACGCTCAGTTGCTGGTGAACAGGGACGTGCGAGTTCTTAGTAAGGACTAAGCTATCATCTTCCCACACAAATCAATGATGAAATCAAACAAAGAGTCTCTGAGTTTATTTAAGAATGATGTATCTGTAGGATTTTAGCCAAAATTCTAACAATAGAAACTTGGCAGCAACACTGCCATTAGCCAAGACAACAATGGCAGGTACTGGCGCTCACAGAGACGTGCTGGCTCTGGCACACGTCCAGTCTCTCCCAGGCTCCATTTCTCACTGAGCCGGTTTGCACGTCTGCTGAACTGTACGCTAAAAGGAATGAGCTAACAGTTTCTCAAGGAACTCACTCTTTATTTTATTAACTGGGATTTAGAAGGTGACAATCTCAACTGATCTCAAACCAAGGCTAAAAGGTTCTCTAAATCTACAGGAGTCAATGCGTTTCTTTTTCTTTCTTTCTTTTCTTTTCCTTTTTCCCTTCCACTCTCCCTCCCTCCCTTCCTTCCTCACTTCCTTCCTTCTCTCACTCGCTCTCTCTCTCTCTTTTTTTTTTTGAGACAGCGTCTCCCTCTGTCACCCAGGGCTGGAGTGCAATGGCACGATCATGGCCTACTGCAGCCTCGACCTCCGGGACTCAAGCAATCCTCCCACCTCAGCCTCTCTAGTAGCTGGGATTACAGGTGCTTGCCACCATGACCAGCTAATTTTTGCATTTTTTGTAGAGATGGGGTTTTGCCATGTTGCCCAGGCTTATCTCAAACTCCTAGGCTCACATGATCCACCTGCCTTGGCCTCCCGAAGTGCTAGGATTATAGGCATAAACCACTAAGCTTGGCCCAACGTGTTTCTTAGAACAACAGCCACATAGAATGGAGCTGTGTGCATCTGCAGTTGCAGCTACTTGGATGGCTGAAGCAGGAGGGCTGCCTGAGCCCAGGAGTTCAAGGCTGGGGTGTGCTATCACCATGCCTGTGAATAGCCACTGTACTCCAGCCTGGGCAACACCGCAAGACTCCCATCTCTTAAAACAACAACAAAAAAGCCACACAGAATGAACACCAAGCGTGAACACTACCATGAACTACGGACTATCACCCTGGGTGATGATGATGTGTCTGTGTAGCTTCATCTGCTGTGACACATCTGCTGTATATGTGTCAGCATATACTTCCTCTGGTGGAAGGTGCTGACCATGGGGAGACTATGCACGTGGGGCAGGGAGCACCTGGGAACTCTCTGTATCTTCTGCTCAATTCTGCTGGGAACCTCAAACTGCTCTAAAAAATGAAATCTATTTTAAGAAAAGCCAATATCCCTTAAAACACTTTTCCCCCACGATGTGTTTAAAACATGTAATTTGACTATACCTTCCATGATTTTAACAAAAAGACCACCATGAATTCTGGGAAGGTGGCTGAGTTATGCTTAAATATGGGCTTTTTTTTCTCTTTTTCACCTGGCTTTAGATATAACTGTGTACCACTGGGGAAAAATATATAACTAATATGAACCAGTTACCAACACTGTTGTAGTGTAGCTGCAAACAAAGAATTAAAAGGAGTTCAAGACCAGCCTGAACAACATAGCAAACTCTTGTCTCTACAAAAAATACACACACAAAAATTAGCCGGTGTGGTGGCACACACCTGCAATCTCAGCTACTCCGGAGGCTGAGGTGGGAGAATCACTTGAGCCGGGGAGGTCAAGGCTGCCGTGAGCCGTGATCACACCACTACACTCCAGTCTGGGTGACAGAGTGAGACCCCGTCTCAAAAAAAAAAAAAAAAAAAGTCTGACTCTGGCTTTAGCTTTGTCATAGATATACTGATTTAACCTTCCTGGGCTTTAGTTTTTTTAATATAAACAGACTACCTGTCCTTGGGCTACACACATGGATAATGTAGAGAGGATGAACGAAAGAAGGTCTTTAAAATGCTTGGAAAGCTCAGATGCCGGCCAGGTGCAGTGGCTCATGCCTGTAATCCCAGCACTTTGGGAGGCCGAGATGGGCGGGCAGATCACCTGAGGTCAGGACTTCAAGACCAGCCTGGCCAACATGGTGAAACCCCGTCTCTACTAAAAATACAAAAATTAGCCAGGTGTGGTTACACATACCTGTAATCCTTGCTACCTGGGAGACTGAGGCATGAGAATCACTTGAACCCACTAAACGGAGGTTGCAGTGAGCTGGGACTGTACCACTGCGGCACTCCAGCCTAGGTGACAGAGTGAGACTCTGTCTCAAAATAAAAGCTGTAACTATCCAGAGGCTACACACACCGTACTGGGAGTGGGAAATTCACTCAACACAAGCTTCCTCAGTGTCTGCTATGTCATTAAAGTAGATACTGCCCTGTCTCTATGGAACTATCTATCTAGCAAGTCAGAAAATAAAAACGATGATGGGACACACACACAGCACACTGACATACGCGGTATCGACTGGGGAAAACGTGGGGTAGAGGAATCGCTGTAAGTCAAGCTGGTTGACAAGCCTTGAGTTGGTGGAGAAGGTAGAGACTGCTTGAGGCAAGAACTACACCAAGGAACGTCCCAGAGCAAAGACGGGGGCAGAGGGAGCAGCCAGTGGGGCCACTGTTGGGTACGAGGATGGCATCAATCATCTGGTGAGGTCTGGAGGTGGCACCAAATCCACAGGACAACGTGGAACCACTAGAGACTGGGGAACTGATGGTGAAACTTCGACGAACAGCAAAACCAGTAGAGAACTGGCACCTACCTTGTCACGTGGCAAAACTCCACCGCAATCCTCTCAGCCATGCACCACTCACGTGGAAACATGCGGCCGTATTTCTCCTCATAGTCCACAAGCTGGCGTTTTATCCAGGCGTAGCGTCTGTCGATTTTGTCCAGCCAGGCAACCTGGTGAAGGTGAAGATCAAAAACCACCCCAGTGGTTAGAAGTAGAACTGGCAGTTTAAGGAAACAAGCAAAAACACAGAGCCAAGCAAAACGGAACCAACCTCCGTATTTCTCATGGTTTTAAAGAATCTAGGCCACGTTTTTTACTTGATTTTTTACTTAAAAATCCAGAGGTTTTTGGCTCAGAACAGTGATGCAGGCCTACAATTCCAGCACTTTGGGAGGCCAGGGCAGGCGGATCACCTGAGGTCAGGAGTTCGAGACCAGCCTGACCAACATGGAGAAACCCCGTCCCTACTAAAAAATACAAAAATCAGCCAGGTGTGACGGGCGCCTGTAATCCCAGCTGCTTGGGAGGGGGAGGCAGGAGAATCGCTTGAACCCAGGAGGCGGAGGTTGCAGTGAGCTGAGATCGTACCACTGCACTCCAGCCTGGGCAACAAGAGCAAAACTCCGTCTCACAAAAAAAAAAAAAAAAAAAAAATCCAGAGGTTTTTAACCTGGGGTCCATGATTGGCCTTCAGGGGTCTATACATTTCCAGAAACTATAAGCAGAATTTTATGCACAGGTGCATGCTTCTGAATTTCTCCAAAGGGTCAGTGACCTCAAAAGACTTAAGAACTATAAAGCCAGCCCCTAGGACTCACAGCTCAACAATCAACACTAGAATACAGTCACACTAAAAGGAAGTCTAAATCAGCAGGCTTGACAGCATTCATTTTTCAATAAAATTCAAAGGTTACATCTGATCTCATTTGGTCAATACTTACATCTTGGTTTTCTTGAAAAAGTACTAGATACTCTGACAGATGCTGTTTAATGAACTTTTTGATGATTTCCTGTTTGATCCTGGGGTCTAGAATATTAGCAACCAGACATGCATCTCGTAGAACATTGCTGGGTCCTCCGGGTCTCTGGTAAAACAAACAACATGTACCAGATTAAAAGCCAGAAACCACCTTTAAACCTCACGGATTCTCACAGCCGCTACTTCTTGTCTCTACGCATGGTGAGTCTTCCCCTGCTCCTTTACGCTCATTCTTTCCACTGTGGATGGACCCGTCAGTTGCCTGCTGTTCCTCGAGGACGCAATCCTTACACTCGTTTTACAGCAAGAGACACGAAAACTACCCTGTGAATCTGCAATGAGATCTTTTGGGAAACAGGCAGTAATGATCACGGGAAATTTGACTTTCTGCAAACCATAACTAAAAGAGACCTAAGAGTTCGAACACCACTGTGGTCTCTGACGTCAGAAGACACCACTGAAGAGGCCGAAGAGTGGGGATGCCACCGGCCTCTCTCCCAAGAGTGGGGATGCCACCGGCCTCTCTCCCAAGAGTGGGGATGCCACCGGCCTCTCTCCTCAGAGTGGGGATGCCACCGGCCTCTCTCCCAAGAGTGGGGATGCCACCGGCCTCTCTCCTCAGAGTGGGGATGCCACCGGCCTCTCTCCTCAGAGTGGGATGCCACCGGCCTCTCTCCTCAGAGTGGGAATGTCACCGGCCTCTCTCCTCAGAGTGGGGATGCCACCGGCCTCTCTCCTCAGAGTGGGGATGCCACCGGCCTCTCTCCTCAGAGTGGGGATGCCACCGGCCTCTCTCCTCAGAGTGGGAATGTCACTGGCCTCTCTCCTCAGAGTGGGGATGCCACCGGCCTCTCTCCCAAGAGTGGGGATGCCACCGGCCTCTCTCCACATGTGCCACTTTTCCCTGACTCCAATCTCTGGGATTCCTGTTCTTAAAGTGCCATGTTTTTGCAAATAGTGTGGTCGCCTTTAACACATGAAACCAGGTTCCGCCGTGACACGTGCTCCACGACAGTGAACCACCCAGAAAGGCAGCCAAAGAGAAAACCCCATGATACTGGCCTGAATGGACACTGGAAAGGGAACGGGGGCTGGACTGACACATCATGATGGGAAGGTCTTTGTGACCCAAGTTTTGCTCAGACTAGTCACTGAGTGAACGTGCCGGCTAAGTAGACCACAGTGAAAAGAACACTTGGAATCTGCTCCTGGCTTGGCTAAAAAGCCGTGCATGCAGCTTCGACGCACTTACTCGGCCTCACCGGAAAAACAATCGACTCTAGGTGATGAGTAAGGTTCTTCTAAATCTTTATTTTATTTTTTGTCAACTCTTTCCAATTCCATCCATCTCAACTGAAGCTCCACTGCTTCCAAAGTGTGATATAAGCTGCCTGGGACCTAAATTGTTAAAAAGTTGACTTACTCCATGCTGAGTAGCTTTTATGTCATCCGCTGAACACCCTAACTTCTCAATTCTCGCTTCAGGATGAAAGTGACCCCATAGAGAAGTCACAGAGGCCAAAACCTATGGGTTTGTGTGTTCAGATTTTTCATTTACAAAGAGTTTACTAGGTTGCGTTGGAAAAATTTTTTTAAATCTTAATTTCCATTTATTTTTTAAAATCTTAATTCCCGTTTGTGAAATAGAAATAGTAACACAGGGCCTTTAAATAAAGCCCATAGTCTTTAAAAAGGAAAAAAGAAAACTAGGTCAGGCGCGGTGGCTCACGCCTGTAATCCCAGCACTTTGGGAGGCTGAGGTGGGCCGATCATGAGGTCAGGAGATTGAGACCCATCCAGGTTAACACGGTGAAACCCCGTCTCTACTAAAAAGAAATACAAAAAATGAGCCGGGCGTGGTGGCGAGCACCTGTAGTCCCAGCTACTCGGGAGTCTGAGGCAACAGAATGGCGTGAACCTGGAAGGTGGAGCTTGCAGTGAGCCGAGATCGCGCCACTGCACTCCAGCCTGGGCGACAGAGCGAGACTCCAAGACTCCATCTCAAAAAAAGAAAACAAAAACAAAAACAAAACCACACACACAAACATGAAGTCGCCACGCGAGAGAAAAGGGAGGCACGCCGTTAGAACCATTTTAATTTCATCTGCCCAGTGGTATCTGGGAAAAAAGATATAAAGTAGGTCTCTTCTAAATAATAAAGATGGGCTTCATCTACATCTTCCTGAAATTTCTAGAAGCTGAAATGGGTGGCCGGGCACGGTGGCTCATGCCTGTAATCCCAGCACTTTGGGAGGCCGAGGCAGGCTGATCACCTGAGGTTGGGAGTTCGAGATCAGCCTGGCCAACACGCAGAAACCCCGTCTCTACTAAAAATACAAAATTAGCCAGGCATGGTGGCAGGTGCCTGTAATCCCAGCTACTCGGGAGGCTGAGTCAGGAGAACTGCTTGAACCCAGGGGCGGAGGTTGCAGTGGGCTAAGATGGCACCATTGTACTCCAGCCTGGGCCGAAGAGTGAAACTCCATCAAAAAAACAAAACAAAAAAAACAACCCTAAAATGGGCAGCTGAGTACACGTGAAGCTAACCTTGTCCTAAGAAGCGCCCAGTGCTTCTCAAGAGCGAATATCCCTACAATCCTTTTTTACTTCTTTGGCCTTCATTTTCCTCATGTAATAAATAGGACTAATGGCTTTCTAATATCTACTCCCCCCCTGCAGTTACATCAGATGACTAAGGAATATCAGGTTCTCCAAGAAAAGTGCTTTACAAATAAGCATCTGATTACTAGCAGACAGCCATAAAATGTGAAGACATTAATATCAGGAGCGGAATTCCTATAGAAAGCGATGGGCAAAAGCTGGGGCCGCTACTCCCAATTACTTCCTACGTTTCTTTTATGGAACACAAAGAAAAAATAATTAAGATATTTCCAGTTATTGAATTACAGAGCAGACGCCGGAAATGTTCCTTGGATCAATAATGTCCCCATCTCCACCCACAGAGTAGGGTCAGGCTCCTTGCCCCTGAATGCTTCAGTATATTCCTGCCTTGAACAATTCTTTCTCTTGAAATAGCTCAAATAATAGAGAAAAGGGCTTGTATGGTTCTTTCCTGTCCGACACACGCTAGGTATAAAGACGGCATCTGCTACAGCTGGAAGGGTGGAGCTAAAAGCAGTTCCCCAAGCAGGATGACTGCCGAGCGGGAGAAAGCTTGTTACATGAGAAGTGCAACCAGCAGCTCCCACGTGAAATGCTGTGGGCTTTGCAGACACAACACAAACAGCTCTGCTACCAGAGCGCTCGAGGGCATTAATTCCGAAGAGCAGGCTTACGGTCGGTCACAGTGAGGCTCCTCACTGTGTCACTCCGAGAGTCACATAAGCCGGTGGGTGCTCCGCCCAGTTGTCTTTTCACCAAACCAAAACCAGTAAGTTACGTAACAATCCTAAAAACACTGCGGTATGAGGATTTTTTTAAAATACAGCCATGAGAAAAAAGGAATTGACAGGGCAGACAAGATAGAAGGTTTGACCTACATTAAATTAAGCCCAAACAAATCCTCCCTTTCTGAGGCTGGAAGGAAACAGAGGAGGAACTGCCACCACCTTGGGACATTTAAAATCCAGGATGGTCTCGTTACCCTGAGCCTGCAGCAGACGGATCTGCAGCTGCCAGCGGGCACGACAGGAATGACAACCGCGTGGTGACCGGGGTGGGCATCAGCTCGGCAAGGATGCCGGTCATCTCTAAAGACGGGGAAACGCAGAGCAGTACCTTGGTGCCCTGGGAAGGAAACGCTTCTTCAAAATCGGCCAGGATTTGCTGTCCTAACTCAGTCTGCGCAGCCTTCACTCTGTGAGGAAGAGAGAACACGTCATCACCTGGCATAATATCCTTACGTCACTACACACCGATCCACAGGGTCAAAAGGGCTGAAAGTCTTTCCAGAAAGGCCAGGAAGGGTCCAGAGACGTCCACGAGGTGAGAGGTCACACACTAGTTAAGTGGCAGGTTGACGAGCAGGACCTAGGCACCCAAGGTATTCTCAGGGTGAATCTTCTACATCCCCAAAATTCTTCTAGGCCAACCCTTTCCTTGAGGTCATATGTGTTAATCTTTACACAGTTCCACTGGGGGGTAGTTGTGCTGTGGGAAAATGTTACAGAATCACATCGGCATCAAATATAAATCTAGTCAGGCACAGTGGCTCACGTCTGGAATCCCAGCATGCGGGAGGCTGACGTGAGAGGGTCGCTTGAGGCCAGGATTTCAAGACCAGCCTGGGCAACATTAGAGAGATCCAGTCTCTACAAAAAAACAAACTAAAATAAAAATTACCCAGGTGTGGTGGCACACACCTGTACTCGGGAGGCTGTGGCGGGAGGATCTCTTGAGCCCAGGACTTTGAGGATACACAGAGCTATGATCACACCACAGCACTCCAGCCTGGGTGACAGCGAGACCTTGGCTCTCTAACAAAACACTAACAAACAACAACAAATAAATCCATTTTGGATTACTGGCATAACTGCTGTCCTACTCCTGGAGTACAGAATGGGAAGAGGGCTCCACAGTGTTTTAGGGTGTTTTGTAAAAAGTTATTATGGGTATATAATCATCATATATACATTTATAGGGTACCTGTGAAGTTTTGATACAGGCATATGATGTATAATGATCAAATCAGGGTAACTGGGGTATCCACCACCCCAAGTTGTTACTTCTCTGTGTCAGGAACATTCCAATTCCAATCTTTTAGTCATTTTTAAGTATACAATAAATTATTAACTGTAGTCGCCCCACTGTTCTACCAAACACTAGATCTGATCGTTCTAACTCTATTTTTGTACCCATTAGCCGTCCCACTTTCTCCCCACCTCCCTGCTACGCTCCCAGCCTCTGGGACCCATCGTTCTACTCTCTATCTCCATGAGTTCAGCTCTGAAAATGTGCAGCTCCCACATACGAGTGAGGACGTGAGGAGTTTGTCTTCCTGGGTCTGGGTGATTTCATCTCACATCAAGTCCGGTTCCATCCATGTAGTTGTAGTGTTTTGAGTTTCTTGTTAATCCAGAAACCAACAAGCTCATAAGTTTTTAAACAAATGAATAAAGAGAACGTCTTCTATAGTAAAAACAAAAAGATACAAGTGACAAAATGAACTGCTAAAGGAAAGTGAGGGCCACTGAATGATGATTTAAGTTCAGAAGTTTGTGAATATGAAAATGGAACAGCAAGGAAAACCAGTTAGAAAGGGGAGGCCGGTACTCAACAGTGGCTGCGAGTGTACTAGGAGCTCAAGAATCACGTGTGGACTTGAATGCAAGGGCAGAAAGGAGAAGCGGCTAGGACGGAAAGCAGCTGTGGATCGCGCCCTGCGATCAATCACGCCCCGCCATCGATCACACCCCCACAATCGATCACGCCCCCGCCATCAATCACGCACCCCAATCGATCACGCCCCACCATCGATCACGCCCCCACAATCAATCGTGCCCCCGCCATCGATCACGCCCCCGCCATCGATCACGCCCCCACAATCGATCACGCCTCCACAATCGATCACGCCCCCACAATCGATCGTGCCCCGCCATCGATCATGCACCCCAATTGATCACGCCCCTGCCATCGATCACGCCCCCACAATCGATCACGCCCCC